ATCATTCCTTCTGTTTCTGTAAGATCGACATGAACAATGAAACCCAGAGGCAGCTATTGTTGCATGTGACATTTCCCACAAGAGCCCCACCTCTGATATGCTAATAGTAGAATAACGGCAAACATCTAAAAAAATCTCTAATGGCATTCATATGGGAGGGACAAACTGAATCTGTATTGAGCTGCTGTGTGAGAATAAAAGGCACGGTAGTTTTTTCTCTTTTTTTCCTTGATGGGAGTATGAGAAAACTACATTGGCCATCTGGCTACATTTATGGCTCACAGAAATTTTCAGATAAGTTATGATCTGCCACGTACAGATCTAATCAGTTTATTTTGCTCATTCAGACTGGGGAATTTGCAGTTTAGCATGCTCCTATATTCATCTTTAAAAATATATGAAAACTTAGACCATGCTTAAAGACCAATTGCCACACTTATTTATGAGGAACGATGGAGGGAAAAAAAAAAAACTTATTTTTTAAAAATATCAAAAGAATGTCTTATGACTCAATCAACAATATGGTAGAAATGTGAAACCAAGGAGTTCTTTTTGTTTGTTTGTTTTTTACATGTATCTATTTTTACATGTATCTATTGATATACAAATAAGTGTATGTATATATCATATTAAATAGATATAAAATGGCATATTTTATTCTCTCTCTCTCTCTCTCTCTCTCTCTCTCTCTCTCTCTCTCTATATATATATATATATATATATATATATATATATATATACACATACAGTTGTAATAAAAATTAGTCAACCCCCTGAATAGCATGCCTCACAACAGCACAAATCAAGGGTTTCATTAGTTGCACCAGATTTACATGAGCTGGAACCCTTGAAATACCTGAACTGGCTAGGGTTTTGTTGAGTGTCACATTTGACAGCATGTTAGAAATATTGCTAAGTCAAAAGAATGGTCCACAAAGTTAAGTGAAGAGATTACCGCCGTTCATAAACATGGAACAGGATACAAAAACATAGAGAAGGCACTGAATGTTCCTAGAGACACAATTGGAAGCATAGTTTGCAAGTTCAAAGTTGAAGGAACAGTGGTTACATTACCTGGACGGGACAGAAAGAGAGAAATATCAATGGCTGCAACCAAATTTCTAAGAAGGTGGGTTGTGAAAAACTCTTGAGTGCACTGAGGTTTCAGTAAACACATTAAGGGGTGTACTAAACGCAGAAAAATTCCATGCCAGAACTCCAAGACATACACCTCTACTGACCCAAAAGTACAAGAAAAGTTGACTCCAATATCCCCTAACCAATATACTTAAGCCACAAAAGTTTGATGATTATGTTCTGTGAAGCAATGAGACAAAACTGGAACTTTTTGGACCCATGGATCAGCTACATGTCTGGGGAAGAAGAAGAATGAAGCAAATGCTTAAAAGAACACTCTGAATACAGTTAAGCATGGTGGTGGCTCAGTCGTGCTCTGGGGTTGCTTTGCATTCTCTGGCACTGGAAACCTGCAGTATGTGGAAGGCAAGATGCATTCATTGAAGTATCATGAAATTTCTAGGAGAAAAAGTAATGCCATATGTGAGGAAGCTGAAGCAAAGGCATTGTTGGACCTTCCAACAAGACAATGATCCCAAGCATGCCGCAAATTACACCAAATCTTTGTTGCAGAAGAATTCATGGAAAATTCTAGTCAGTGACCTGACTTGAACCCCATAGAAAATCTCTGGTGGGATTTGAAGAAGGCTTTTGCAACATGCAAACCGAAGAATATGACTGAACTGGAGGCCATTGTTCATAAGCAATTGGCTAAGATTCCTCAAGGAATGCTGTCTGAAGATGCTTGCCATGAAGGGGTTGAATAATTTTGATACTGGAGAAGTCATTATAAGCTACATACATACAATTTACATATATATAATTTTCATTGTTAATGGCCCAATTAAGATGGTGAGTCTCATCAATAAAGTTAATAGATCAGCTTCAGACAAACTGCAATTTGCCAATATTAGGCAGATCTTCTGTTCCATGTCTGCGAAGCACTATACAACTATATAACCAAGCAAATGACTAACCTGATAGACAGGCATGTCAGTATACTTGCTGTCAGATTGCCCTGGTTCCCTAGCATCTAACGCAAAATTTGTTAATCTTGGTAATGTCTGAGCTGGCATGACTTTCTTGGCTCATGTTACTCTCATATTATTGAGGTGAGTATATTGTTAGATGTCTTGCCCAGGGAGGTGGTCTGACCAGGATTCAAAACTGAGTTTCCAGAATCTAAACAGTGACATTACCATTGCGCTAACCAGTCAATAAATATATATTTGTATATTTATTTTAAATATGTACATAATAATTGAATTATATATATATATATATAATTTGCAGTACACCGATTGGCCCATTTTCACAACATTTGTGTTTGGCTGAACCATTTTCCCAAATATTTTTCATGGACAATCCCAACCGTCAAATGAATGATTGCAGCTGAACCAATATTTCAACTGTGCAGAAGTTTAGTTAAAAGGCCACTCCAGATCCCTTAAGCATGTTAGCTTGCTGAAGTTTAGCTTGTTTCATTCTACAAAAAAATGCAGATTTCACTAGAAATTGGCATGTTTATAAATTAACCTTGCTACACCCCCTGGCTGTCAAACAACCAATCCTGTAACTTTCTGGTTCGTTAGCTCAGTGGAGCTAAACTCAAGAGACAGACAATTGCTCATAGCATCTGCCTTGCAAAGACTTACTTGAGCTGCATTGCGAGGTCTGTGATTTGACAGCCACAGACAGACTGGGTGGGGTTAGAAGGAGGGGGCTTGCAAAGGCTTCAGACAGCTTTTGCAAGCTGTTTTTTTACATACCCCAATGGAGAAATGCATAATTAAACGCATGCATGGTTTCATTGTGGGTATATCTACTATACAGTTATGGTTTATTTTTTGTTTTTTATTTGAGCAGTGGTGTGTTTCTTTAGTAGTTAATGCACTTTCATGAATTTCCTTTTCCATACTCCAAATGTTACTGAGGGGCTTGTAATATTGTTTTATACATTTTTCCTTACCTGTGCTTTTAGATTTTCTTTTCCCAAAGCGGTTTGGAAAGCATTTTAATATAGACTTTCAAAGGCACTATCCTGGAAAGGGAAACTTGAAGGACTATAGACCTTATCTAGAAATCACACGAGGCAGAGGAATTTAACACAGATTTGGTTTTCTGAAATTTCTTTAATTTGAACAGATTTTATCTAATTTAAACTATTTAAACATGTTAAAAGGGCACAATAGTCAGCAAAACCACCATGACTTAATGACTGGCATGGTGTGGGAGAAAAGGTAGGTTTAAAACAATTTCAAAGCGATCTAAGAGGGGCCAAGGAGGTAAATAGATAGTTTAACACTATAGTGTTAGGAATACATGGCAGACTTAAAGGACCACTATAGGCACCCAGACCACTTCAGCTTAATGAAGTGGTCTGGGTGCCTGGTCCAGCTAGGGTTAACCCTTTTTTTTTATAAGCATGGCAGTTTCAGATACCTGCGGGAGGGGAACCCTGAGGGTGGGGGCACTCTCAGGGCACTATAGTGCCAGGAAAACAAGTATGTTTTCCTGGCACTATAGTGGTCCTTTAACAACCAAGCATTTCTCATAAGACTTTTGCAGCTTGGGTTGATACAATGTTGTATCATGAATTTGTACATTACCATGACTACACAACTGCCTCTAAAAAATGCAGCTAAAGTTGATACAATCTTATTCATGCAGTTCTGTGTTAGTTTGTCAGCAATGTCATTTATAAAGCAACATTGTCAATTGATTAAACCAAAAATAAGAATGCCCAAAGCAAATAACATTTGAGTTGAGAAAAGACAGTAAGAAAAAATAATAATACAGGTAAAACAATCTTTCTTGATTAACAGGACAAAATGATGAACAACATAAAATAGGTTAACACAGTGGGTATGCATCTGGCACACGTTTTATGGGGATTAAACATATCCCAGAACCGCCCTGCAAGAGGAACTGGGATCAACGCCTACGGCACAGAGAATACCTTTGGTTATACTGTTTAAAGACATTGTATCCCAATGGTTTCAATGGTCCTACCTTTTTAGACATTTTGAAAATTGTTTAATTATTTTTGCAATGAATTCATGGCTTCTATTTCAAGATATAATTTCACTAAGGGACTTTTTACACTTCTTATTTTGTTTATCAAAGACCAAAGAGTGATAATAAGCCTGAGTGGACCCTTATATTCATTATGGCAGAGTCTTATTATATATACAGTATATATCTCTTTTAAATTCTATGACTAAATGAGGGACATCTGGAAATTAAAGGGACACTCCAAGCACCACAGATCTTTGGTTAATTGTGCAAGATGTTCTGTGTACTCCTTACCCTATCCTTTATAGTGAAAAAAAAAAAGAAAGAAAAAAGCACCTTTTGAGTAGTGAAAACTTATGCAAACAATAAATATCACTTAAATTGCAGAATTTCTACCATTACGTTTGTGTCACAATAAAAATATTTTGCACACACAAAATGATCAATCAACTAGTGAATATTTTATGAAAAATTTAAAAAGTTATTTATTGCTTCCCAGAAAGTGTAAAATGCAAATTAGGAAGGTGAAGTTCCCAAATGCAGGCAAGTAGATGTCAGCATTGTATACAGTAGGTGATGGTGGTGACAGATAAAAATGTGTTTTAAGCAATCTTCCCAAGTGACCTAATCTGTCATTCACCAGTAATTTAGCATTTCAGACATGACAGACCAGCCACCCATCTATTTCCTCTGCTTGACTGAGCAAAGTGATGTAACAATCTGCTTACCATATGCTGTTCAAAATTGATAAATAATTAAATATATAAAAAATGTAATTCAGCATTATATATAGCAAAGAGCTACTTATGTATGAATATTTTAAAAAATATATTTCAGTTATACTTAGAAATAACAAAATAATGAACATTTACTAACATGCATAAGTTTAATGTAACAGACAAAAGAAAGGCAGTTGAGATTACTTGCATACCATTTTACGTTACTTTTTCTGAGACTTATACTTTCAATTTCAACTGATTTGCTATTTGTCTGAATCTAGACCGATTGGCTGTTTAGACAAATTCCATATCTCTGAAGCATCACACGGGTGTATAATCAAGCAGTTGACTAGCACAATGGCCAAATATGTTTGTTTGAAACGGCATTTGAAGTTCTGCCCGATTTAGGCCAAGCTTAACCTGCCGTACAGATGGTCTCATATTTGACTCTAGAATACTTTGGTAAACAGAGGAGTTCATGGTCGACTCAATGACTACAAGGTTTCCAGGTCCTGTGGCTGCAAAATATGCCCAAATCATCCCCCCTCCATCACCATGCTTGAAAGTTGGTGTTTGTGCTGATTTGCAATTTGGTTTTCATCACACGTGGCGCTATGCACTATGGTCAAACATCTCATCTGTCAAAAATAAATTTTTTCAGAAATCTTGTGTTTTATTCATATTAATCTTTACAAATCTAAGCCATGTTGACATGTTATTTTTAGAGAGAAGAAGATTTCTCCTGGAACCCCTTCCAAACAAACCATAGTTGTTCAGTCTTTTTCTAATTGTACTGTCATGAGCGTTCACATTTAACATACTAACTGAGGCCTGTAGAGTATGGGTTTTCTGCAATTTCTCTGAACATTGAACTGTCTGACCTTTGGTGAATTTGCTGGGACATCCACTCCTTGAAGAACTGGCGACTGTTAAAATATTTTCTACATTTGAATAATCTTTCTCACTGTAGAATGATGGACTTTAATTTTTTTCGAAAAAAACAGTTTCATAAGAATCAACAATTGCTTCTCTGAGATCATTGCTGATGTATTTTCTCACTGGTCTTGTGTTAACACACAATCGGAATGCTCCAGACCAGCAAACCCATTTATCTTCAACTTTTATAGAGGTGGTCACACTTGCCGATGATCAATTAATCAAAGGCATTTGATTAGGAGCACCTGTCTATTACTTAGCTTCTTAATTCATATGGCATCAGTAAGATTGTTAGTTTTTCACACATGGCTTCATTATTTTCGCTTTATTTTTGTTAAATAAATTATGACACGGTGTAATATGTCATGTGTTATTGTTCATCTGAGGTTGTGTTTACCTAATTTTAGCTAAGGAACAGATGATTGTTATTTTGTCCTGATATGTAAAACCGTAGAATTCAACGAGGGTACACTTTTTTTCCCATGACGAGATATATATATATATATATATATATATATATATATATATATAATGTGTTAAAAGGCCATTAGGCCTGAATTTGTGGGAGGAGTTATGTCCCCTACTTAAACTCTCAGCCCCTACTCATCTCTGCTGTTCAAGCTGATTGACTCACCAAAGTAAACAGCACTTCCGGTTTCAAGATTCTCGCCGAACAGTTCCTGTCGCCAGCAGAGTCCACTGCCTCCGACCTCCGGTCCTTCCAACCGACTTTCTCCCCAGACACGGTACCTGGCTTCCACTCACGAGACCTGCACATACACATAAGCAACACAGGGGAATCTATAAGCTTCCGCATGGACAAATGGTCAGGTCCCTCACTACGTATTCACCCACACGCTTTTTGCATAAAAAAAAAAAAACAACAACTGTGCATCACTTGACCTGTGGTTTATACGTTTGCTGCTTAGCCCTGTGTCAGTATTGCAGACTTTTCACTTTACTACGCTTTCAATCACCGACTGCCAACCTGGTATCCTGTCAGTTAGCACCAGGTATTATAATCTTCCCACTACGATTACGGTTTCTCCTCAAGGCCTCACTCAGCCTTACCTCATTATGTTCCCAATAAATGGTAATTAGGGGCTTGTCTCTATGTATTGACCAACATTCAGGTCCCTCATCTTACACGGTTTCTCACGTTACATTTTAGTGGTATTTGTACACGCATTTCTATATAAGTTTGGCCACTTTTACGTACGTCGTACATACCAGTGGCACGCTCAAGGCCCACTAGCATGTATCTTACCCCCAGGATACTTTGGCCGGACCAGTATATTATTTTGGGGCAATTCTCATCTACGAATCATTGCATTACGCAATAAGCCGGAAGACAAATCCTCAAGGTTAGTATCCACATGTCTTCGTCACCTAGTTATGAGACACCAGGGATAGAGAACTGGCATACAGGGATAGGTATGGGCCTTAACAACCCAAAGTAAATCACATGGGTCCTGCGAGGCCTACACCCCATCTCACCACGGAGGTTTCGCCCTACGGCCAAAATCATAGCTGCCTCGCTCACCCACCTTTAGGGCTACAACCAGGGCTTCACAGGTCACAGCCACACACATTTGAATCTTTTATTGTCATCAAGAGGCCGACATCCTGCCACCATGTATCGTACCCACGAATCCCCTCGGTCCAAATCATAGGTAGAGCCTCTCACCGCCACTTGGCATTAGCAGGGCCTCACCTGTCACGTGGCTATAGTTAAGTTTTTCGCCTCTGCACTAGTCAGCAAGCCAGTTCTGCAAGGACTTGATCTTCCTCACCACCCCCTTCTATATTAATCATTATTCCTTTTTCAGGATGTCACAAGAATCCATCCCTATTGATGACCTGTCCTTGGAAGATGTACCCAGCACTCCAGCCAGGCCTGGGTCCCCAGAAGTATTCTACCCCCAGGTCCCTGAGATCATGGACTATTCCTAAAATTTCAGCAGAACTAAGACTCAGGGGCATCCCTTTTCCAGCCACTGCCAGGAAGGCCGGGCTATATAGACAGTTGACAGCTCAGGCCAGTGACCCCAGACCTGGCACAAGCTCACAAGGGCCATCTACCAGCACCTCCGAAGCTACTTAATGGAAGCGAATACCCTTAATGGAAGTGAATTAGGGATAACAACACATGAAAAGGACTTGGGAATTGTTATAGACAACAAACTATGCAACAATTTGCAATGTCAATCAGCAGTGGGTAAGGCCAGTAAGGTATTGCCATGCATGAAAAATGGCATTCATTCTCGGGATGAGAATATCATTTTTCCTCTTTATAAATCACTGGTAAGACCACATATTGAATATGCTGTGCAATTTTGGGCACCTGTTCTAAAAAAGGATATTATGGCACTAGAAAAAGTGCAGAGGCGGGCTACAAAATTAATAAAAGGAATGGAACATATCAGCTATGAAGAAAGGTTAACAAATTTAAACCTATTTAGTTTAGAAAAACGTCGCTTTAGAGGGGATATGATAACATTATACAAATATATTTGGGGCCAATACAAACCATTGTGTGGAAATCTATTCACAAACCAGACTTTATATAGGACATGAGCTCATGCGTTTAGACTGGAAGAAAGAAGATTTCATCTAAGGCAAAGGAAAGTTGTTTTTTTTACTGTAAGAATAATAAGGATGTGGAATTCTCTGCCTGAAGAAGTGGTTTTATCAGAGTCCATACAGATGTTCAAACAGCTAATAGATGTATACTTGCAAAAACAGAATATTCAAGGATATAATATTTCAATGTAGGGTAATAACTGCTTGATCCAAGGATAAATCTGACTGCCATTCAGGGTCAAGAAGGAATTTTTTTCCTAGCTTGTTGCAAAATTGGAAGTGCTTCAAATTGGGGGGTTTTGTCTTCTTTTGGATCAAAAGCAAAAAACAAATGTGAGGAAGGCTGAACTTGATGGACGCAAGTCTCTTTTCAGCTACGTGACTATGTAATACTCAGGAAACCTTGTCAGCCATACTGGCTAGCCTCCAGACCCTGAATAATAGGCTGTCTAAGGTGGAATCAGCCATTGCCACTCCAGGTGACTTACCAGGCCCTTCAGTACCTCCCCTTGTAATTACTAACCTGTCGTGTAGCACCCTCCTCCTCCCCCCACCCTCCACCACTACCCAATATGTTTCACCGGCTCACTCTGTTCCAGCATCCATTAAAAAAGAAATACTGGATGGGAAGGATGTTAATTTAGTTTCCCTCCTCATAGCCTCGCAGGATTTTTTACAAAACAGAGCCTATAACTACGGGGACATTTCTGTGGTGTTAAAAACAAGAGACCTACGATTCAACAAGAAATGATCTATCTCGCAATTTGTCCTTGCCTTCGGGATCTATAGAGATGTAATCTGTTCAGTGTATCCGCATAGAAGGGAGGAACTATATCTATACATGCACAAAGTGGTGGATCTTCGCATCAAGTACGGGGGTCCTCTTTCTTTGATTACCACAAGTCCGTGTCGGCCAAGGCAGCAACTCATCTGGCCCAATTTAACATCAGAATTGACTGGTGCCAAATGGACATGGAGTTGTTATGCCGACACTTTGCCGGATTGAGGCCCCCGTCCTGTGCTGCTTGTAGTTCAACGTCCCATTCCACAGATTTGTGCCCTTGTGAGGCAGACACTTCCTCTTCTCACCACTTTTTCACCTCACACTCTAGGCAAGAAGGAGGCAGAGGGACAAGCTGGGCAGACCCATTGCGTTTCTGGGCAAGGTGCAGGTGTGCAACAATTTTAATGCTGGCGCATGCAGCTTCAGCACATGTAGGTTGTTTCACGTCTGCTCCATTTGTTTCAGAGCGCACACTAAGGCCATGTGCCCAGCCAGATTTTCCCCAAAGAAATGACTGACCGAGGACAGTATAGATGTCGTAGCCTACTATCTCCATTCTCACCCAGCCAGGCATTCAGTGTGACAGTGGTGACAGTGTTTTTACAGGGTTTCCACACAGGCCTCATTGCCATCCCTACAGACACACTTGAATGCCCAAATCTGCTGTCAGCCTCTAATGACCCTATCACGGTGGACCACCTCCTGTCAGGGCCACCTGTCAGGGCCGCCACACACTTTGGGCCACCCGATGGGCCCTATATCTTCAGGGGCCCAGTCAGCGATGTGGCCGTGGTATAGCTCACTCTGCACGGGAGGAGCGCGCGCGCCAGTGAAGAGGGAGCCGCGCCGACTCCCATCATCCCCAGCCACCCTCTTGCAAAGAAACGGTAAGAGACAGGAGGGTGACTGGAAAATGAGCGCTGTGTGTGTGTCTGTATGCATGTCTGTCTGTCTATGTGTGTCTGTATGTATGTGCATGTCTGTCTGTATGTCTGTCTGTATGTATATGTCTGTATGCATATATGTCTGTCTGTATGTATATGTCTATATGCATGTATGTCTGTCTATGTATATGTCTGTATGTCTGTCTGTATGTATGTGTATGTCTGTCTGTATGTATATGTCTATATGCATGTATGTCTGTATGTCTGTGTCTGTATGCATGCATGTATGTCTGTATGTTTATGTATGTCTGTATGTATGTATGTCTGTATGTATATGTCTGTATGCATTCATGTATGTCTGTATGTCTGTATGAATGTATGTCTATGTATGTCTGTCTGGATGTATGTCTATGTATAAAAAGATATGGAAGGGCTGCGCCAAATAAGGGTAGATAGT